GTGAAGCTAATTTCACCTATGCAGCTCTCCCTTGAATATGGTTTCATATTTTAGCACCTTTCTCTACAGCCTCACGTGGTAGCTCAAAGGGATGTATATGCATTTCCCTCTTCCTGAGTGGAGCTTAGGGAGCTTCATTTATAGTCTTCCTCCTTTCTTGGGTACATTTCCTCAGTGCTGAGCTCAGGGTAGGTTTCCATCCTCCCTGTTGCCTTACTGAATAAAGCTGGTTGCAAGGAACCCACCACCTGGCAAGTCAGCTGTTCTGAAGTGCATTCAGGTGCCTTCTGATGTGCCCTTGAATTTTCTTATTCCTTATATCTGTGTGCAGAACATGGCTATGTTTATAGTGTTACTCGAGCTATTTGTTTTTCTCACCTTTCTCTGACTCCGGGTGCAAAAAGAATTTACAAACTGAGCAACCATTGTAGTTGTCAGTACCTCTTAGACACGTTTCAGATTGTCCTAAGCTGCTGAAAGATTACAGGTCCAAGCACAAAGATCTGGTTTAAGTAGTTACACCTTAATCCTCTGAGGTGAGAAGAAGGCATGAGCAGACAGTATTTAGAGGGAGAAAGGCAGTGGCCTGAGTTCTTGCTGCTAATTTAAGGTTTTCTTAAACGTAGGTTTTGCAAAATATTTTTTCATTATTACTCTTACTGACCTCTTTCACAAACCACTGGCAGAAAGCAGGGCTGATCCACTCTCTTGCATGGAAACCACAATCCATAAAGATGGCCTTCTTATTTGCACCGCTTTTTCCCACCTAGGAAAAAAACCAAAAAACAAAAACAATACCCCAGGGCTTGAACAAAATAAATAGTATGCAAAACAAGTCAGTCAGCTTGCTGACCTATTTATAAAAATATGGCATTCCTTGTTTGAATGGAAATCTGTGGAGTGCTCCCAACTGTACCTGAGCATGATAATCAAGTTACAAAAATACTCTTATTAATTTCATTTTTATTAATGTTGATAAGCTTCCCCCAATTATTTGATTACTCTGCATGGTTGAATTATTTCCTGTAGTGTCTCTAAAAGTTTATCTTGTATGTTTGAATGATACATTACTGTAAATAGAGGAAAAGAAGAAATCAAGGCACTTACTTTGAGAAGGTACATTGGCCGTCCTTCATATGTTTTCCCAATTACACTACGAGAGACAAGGTCTGGGTTCTGAGCAGCAATATCAGCAGTCCAATCAGCTATCTGTTTAATAAAGAGGTTAAGTCTAAATCTCTGTTCCTTAGGTCCAGACTGATTAATTTGCAGATTTCAAGCCAGAACAGTCTTTCTAAGCATCTAATGTGGTCTAATAGTTAATACAATTTGTAGATTTCCAAGGAGCTGCTGTGAAGATGTTAAGAGTAACATGGCCATGATTACATGCCAGGAAAAATGAGCATGGCTGTGAAAAAAGGAGGAAGGGGTCTTATGATAGGACATGAAGAGCTAGAAGCAGGGAATGGAGTTGAGTTGTTTAGCAGAGGAGATGGGAGAAGTAGTGAAAAGGAAAGGAAATTAATAGTGAAGCATCTCAGCCTGGTCATTGGATTTCTGCTAGAGTTTCTTTGCAGCATTGGGAGCAAAGAAAAGTAGAGGAAATAAAAGTAGGTTACACAAACTAGCTCAGTAATGAAGAGGAAGGAGAGTTTTGAGACATTATCATGTCATGGATGGAGCAGAAGAGGAAAAGGGAAGAAGGCCAGAAGCACTTTGACTACAGAAATAAGGTACCAAGCTGATAATGTGGTAAATTCTAGACTTTACCGTGTTCCAGTTGTTGTACTTCACATAGCTGTGGCTGGCAGTACGAGCTTGGCTGTCAAACTGGGCATCCAGTGCAGCCTGCAGGTTGTCAATCAGAACTCTGCAAGAAGGCACCATGAAAAGTGTGAAGAGAAACATACACCAGTCCAGCAGGAAAGTAAGACATTTCAGGGTCTGCCCAGCTTTTGGGCTGCATAGATTGTGAAAGCAAAGGTGGGCAGGGTGGAAATAAGATATATTAGTATCGAGTTTCCACCTCCTGCCTCAACCTTGCCACAAAAGGACCAGGGAGCAACAGGCTCCTGCCAATTAGCAGCTGCCTCACCCCCACACTTACAAACCTCCAGGGTGGCAACAGTTTGGTTTCAGAAAAATGGCAATGCTGAGACAGAGTGTGTTTAAAAATGAGCTTTAGGCTGATCTTATGTTGGCAGCTGCTTTTGCCTCAATAGGAAAAAGGCCTTCTTAACTTTTGGCACTGGAGGACAGCTAGACTGCAGCAATGTTTCAAAACCAGGCAGCAACCCAGAGATGTTTGCTAGATGAAATTCCCTGTAAAACCAGGCTTCCCAATGTTAGATCTGGTTTGACAGCTCTGTTCAGGTGGCATTATCCATCCTCCAAGCTACTTCATTGCATGTGAGGTGAGCTATTAAATACAAAACACAATTGCAAAGAAACCTCAACATCCAGTCTGGATTGGTTGCATCTCTCCAGTTCATTTTCTCCTGGGGCTGACACAAAGCACAAAGGCATGACTTATCACTGAGCATACTCTTGAGGACTTTTTGCTTATATTTCAACCTTGGCTATCAAAAAATGAAGTCCTCTTGTTTTTCCAGCGCCTGTCTTAAAACTCTTACAGATCTTATTCATCCAGGATATGTCCTTGATTATTTATGATTTGGATAGAGGAATAGGAAGCCAGTTTGTGAGGCACCAGCAGCCTTCAGAGCAAACATTGCAAGTGACATGATGTCATGGCACTGAAGCTGCACTTCAAAAGGATTATAACAGCTTGAGTTGTCACAAGGACAATCCACTGGTTTGTCAGGGACAGTTTCCAGACATTCTGGCCTTTTGTTGCAATCAAAAGATTTGTGCATGGACCTGAAGCAGTTCATGAATATTATAGGAAAACTAACATATTAAAGTAACTCCTTTGCTAAAGAGGAAATTCCACTGAAATGGGATTCCTGTGCTTTATGTGCACTGTGGGATTATTGAAAGCCATTTATTCCAGAGCGTTTTTAGATTCTGTTCCTGTAGAGGCATCTAAATCAGACACAATTGACATGAGGCCAGTAAATTTAGGGATGCATTGTGATGCATTGTGTGATGTCCAATGTAGGAGTTTGGTCTAATAGCAACAACAGTGGGGCTGAGAGACAAAACTCTACTCAGCCAAATGAAATTATAAAAACTTGATCAAATACTACTGACTTTCAGTGTCTGAGAACAAGATGTTGACAGACTATACTTTACACATCAAAGAAGCCTGATAATGAAGTTGGGCACATCCATTCTGCAGTGCTTAAGTGGAGTGAAAGGAGAAATGAAGACAGACAACCCCACTCCACTCCAGCTCAAAGGCAATTTCTCATCCTCAGTTAATGCTTGCACAGTCATTGGAAGAGATGAAGTGAAGAACAGGGTCAGGCAACTCCTCATTCTCCTTATTCTTCCGTTAGTGCTCCTCACCACAGAGTTTTGTTCCCCGGGGTGTGGAATGTGGCAGTGTGCTCTGTTCTCTCCACTTGTGCTGCAGTCATAGTCGGTCGGCTCTCTCTTTGGACACATCCTTGCCATGGATCTGCTGTGTGACTTCTGTCAGCCCAAGGCTATCCTGGGAATCTGTTTTCCGTGCTTCCTTGGCCTTTCACCTGGCAGCTGTCTTCTATCTGTCGCCTGTTGGGGTTTTTTGGCCCTCTAGCTATTGTTCTGCAACTCACTGGGGACCTGCTCATGGTAACCTTGGGGCTCATAATTTTATTTTCTGGCTTCAGTTCCCTGTCCATTTCCCTCATCTGGTGTATATTCTGGCTCTTTCTAGACCTTTGCTGCATTTTGTCTGTGGTAGGGTAGGAAATATTTCTATCCCCATCCATACTCCAGCCTTGTGTATTGCAGTGAGCTTTCACCTCAGGTAAATTTCTGGGACTGCATCTCTGCTTCCTATCTCTTGCCTCTATCAATATTTCATCTCACCCTGTTAATGCAGAGTAGTTACAGTCCATTTGAACTGTCATAGGAAAGCTGAACCCAGTAGAGACATCCATAGAAGGGATGAAGTTTGTAACAGGAAAATCAGTTGACCAATATGAAGAGCTCAAACACATCCTCCATGGTATGTAGTCCCCTTTTATTCAAAGTACAGTAGTCAGAACAAACTTACCGATACTCCATTCCACTTTCTTTCAGAAGGTCTTCAACCTTAAAAGACTTCTCAGCTTCAACTCGGAAATCAACTTGCATTTTTGGTCTTACCAGTGTGACAGAGTCTGGCTGCCAAAAGTCAACCTGAAAGAAGAACAAATGAAGACATAAACAAATGCATATGTGTGGCTGTGATTTTTTAGATTGGTGTATGTGTGCTGGTGAGGTTGTGATTAATATACTGAATTTCATGCCTATCCTATTACACTGATTCAGCATTGCTTCCCACAAGTATCAACCTAAATTTTAACTGGAAATTGATTAAGATTTTTTTAGGTCCTGCATTTTATATGGCAGAATTCTGGAGACGACAGCGACAATTCCACAAATTGTCTCCAGTATCTGCGTTCATACAGAATTGTGAATATTATAACTATATTTACATTTTCATATATGTTTCATATGTAGTTATTTTACATAACTATATCTACATTTATTATAATAAATATATTATTTATACATATATAACAATATATAGAATTCATTACTATATAAATTTATTATAATAACTCTATTATATTAATAACTATGTTTATATTTTCTTTCATTTTTACAGCTTCTTTCATTTTTTTTGCTCAGGTTTTTGCCTACAAATGTTAGAGAGAAATTACCTCAATATCAGGGGTGAACTGTATGAATATTTTACATAAATCAACTGAAGAAGACTGTTGTCTGTACGAGTGCTTTTAAAAGAGATCACTGAAGCTGATATCAGGAACTTGTGCCTTTGAAGATGTTTCATTTCAAGTGGACAAACAACAGTGTTATTACTACTTCACTTATTTTTGCTGAAGTAAGCATCCAAGCCTCTGGATTTAGTGCTCTGTTGAAGGCCAATGGAAACAAAGATGATTTGCCAGCCTGATGCCTTTTCACCCTTTCATCTCATGAAGGTAAAAGAAATTTGGGTTGGTTATTCATGAATTATGTGTCATCAAATTAAGTGATTGTTCCAGAATATACAATTACATCAGTCCTGACTGACTGCTTTGTATAACAATGGTAGTTCAGGGATCTTTTCTTAAAAGAAAAAGAAAACAAACAGTCCTTTGATACTTCACACTTAAAAGCAAGCATGATATATATTAATTTCCTTAATATTGGCAGCACCACTCCAATAGTATGTTGTTCTACAGAAAACTGTTCCAGCATGCTGTAGTAGCCTGTTGATGATAGGTCTCCACATCTGTACTTCATTAAAAATACCATCCTTTCATCCTACAGCTAATGGTGTCTTTTTCACCAACAGCTATTTTACAACATCAAAGCTGAAGAGAAATATTGAAAACACATTTGCTGTCTTTGTTGTTTTTCATCGTGTCATTGTGTCATCATATATCTACATCAAGGTCAGTGAGAAACATGCAGCTTAGAGAGAAAGGAAGCTTTAAAGGAAAGTCAACAGAAGAAAAGATAACATGAGAGATTAGAGGCCAAAGGAAAATTCATTTTGCTGGCAGTATAAATTTTTAGATTATTTACATGAGGAAAATGTTTCACCTGTAATAGTAAAAGTTCTGGTAGTTGGAATTTTCATGATTTATCTAACACATTCTTGAAAGCACCTCACACTAAATACAGCATTTAAGATTTATTTATTCTATTAACAAATTCTGATGGGCACTTTGACATTCAGATTGGGTAAACCAGACTTTATTGGAAGGTATTTGAATGTTTTGTAGAGCTCTTGTTTTATCAACTTGTCCTATTCCTTCCAGAGAAACAATACAGCTGACTTGAAAGAAATCAAGATTAAGTCTTTAATTCAGTAGCACAATTAAAAAAAAATCAGTTATTTGAGCAAAGGGAGAAATTTTTACTTTAACTACAATATAACCATTTCCCCAAGTCCTTTACCTCCATGATGCTGGCAAGGAAATTGAGGATTTCCACCTGCTCATCATTCTGTGGAATCACACGGAACACCTTCTGCCTGTAAGGGGAGAAAAAGATTCAATTTGAAACAGTTGAAAGCCTTTTGATCATGCAGAAGAAATCACAGATATAAAACTTGATGTCTGTTCTTACCCATCAAAGGAAAGATCCTGCAGGTGAGCAGAAACAGATGCAGCACCTATGAGAACCAAGAGTGCCCACATTTTCTCAAACAGGCTTTCTGTTCTTTTTGTGCTGCTTTTATAACTTGTTTTGTCCTTCTTTTTATCAGTTATACACAGAACAACCCACTGATCAACTGATAGTTTACTCTTTTGGCCTTGTTTTATTTGCATACTATTTATAGCGTGTGTTTTTCTCTACACCTGTGAAAGTCTCACAGAGGCCTGGCTAAAGAATCTTGCTATTTGAGCTGGAAAAACTCTTGATATGAGAAAGTGAATTTAATTTACATTTTTATTTTCTGTTTTATGTGAATTTATATTTTTTTAATAAGGTGGTTGCTGAATTATAAACTTTATAGTACTTTATTGTTATTTTGTGAAATGGTAGATGTCCATCAGATGTTGTTGCAGTGTGCCTGGTGTTAATCCCAATGTTCCTCTTCATTAATAAGTTTGACTTTGACTTATTATTGTCAAAGAGGAATCTACCAATTGGGATATACCAATAAGCTTTCTTTTTTCCCCAACAGAGAAGGAAAACACTGAACTGGTTCTGTGCACACTTCACTGAAATTTGTCAGGAGTCTGCAGAACTGAAAGAGCAGAAATTTCTAGTAGCAGTAGGGTTGTACATATACTACATGTGATACAGCTGCTGATTCTTGTGCATCCTCTAATTTCATGTGTCGATCAGAGGTAAATATCTTACAGGTTAAGCAATACTGTGGAATTTACTAAGAAGATCAAATGAAATGTACTGATACTAAAGCATTTTTAACTTTCATGTTGTGCCTACTCTGAAGAACAGTGGTGTGTTTGCAGCAGTGCACTTGCATCTGTTTAGTTTTCATTAATGAGTACTTGGCATTGAATGCAACGTTAATTGTCTGTTGATGCTGTGTCCTGATGTGACTGATGTTTTCGACAGGGAGCCTCTAAATGAATCAGTGAACAAATAAATAAAAAACGGAATTTATGAGCTCAGTTCTGTCTCCTGTTATGCCTAAGTAACCAGGCAAATTAAAGGAGTTCAGACACAAATAAACTCTACTGTGTATTACACATATGTGTAATACAAATATGTGAAAATCTATTAAGAAAAATAGTATAATTCATCTCAGATTAAAAGATGTAGTTATGGTTTCAAGGTACAGAAAATTTAATTGTCATTGAGCATTTTAAGAATGAATGTGGCATTGGCATCAGACTTGACACCTAATTTTTTATAAGCTTCTCTGGACTCAGTTCACTAAAGCATAGATACAGAATAGATAGAAATATAATTTTAAATCAATGTTCATGCATATAAATATGACCCATTATTAATACTTGCCTAAAAGGAGAGTCAAAAAGTCTACTGGGCCTACTTATTGAAAACTGTCTTTGCCAAACCATAGGATTTAAACGGAGGTGGCAATTAATGGCCTAATTTGTAGCACTGCAAGCTCTTGCCCAGTAATAATCTTTCTGAGACAAGCCTCTGAAGACAGATGACAACAGGAGCTGTTCTGACAGTGTCAAAACAATACTGCACAGTCTCCAGAAGTTTTAATTTTATGATGATGAGATCATCATTACAGATATCAAATAAAAAGGTCTGATCCCATAAAGACAATTGCAAACACAATAATGCGGAGATGATCAAGCACAGAACTTGCAATGAATAAATGATCATGAGAAGTAATCAAACAATTTGCAGATGTCACCATTCCCTGTTGAGAAGCGTTTTGGAAATAGAAATTGCCAGATTTCAAAGTCTGAGTTTATTTACTTTTAATAAATTGCTTCCTTATTCATGCAGTTGGAGATGATGGGGGCTTTTTTGGTTTTATGTTTGGGTTTTTTTTCCTCCAAACAATTAGTGATGCAGCATCGACTACTGAGTTGGCAAGCATCACTGAAAACCAGAATTTGTAATAGCAGTTTTTGCAGTTTCCATCCCAGACTACATCAGAAACAAACACTGACCTGGAATCCTACTTAAGTGATTTATTTTGCATCTCAGGATGGATATTTGTCAGGTTAGTTCATAAATTAGCTCTAAGCATTGTCTTGTTCTTCTAACTGTATAGCATAAATGTTTAATACTTGTATATATACCTGATAAAGGGGCAGCGTAAGGATAAATAAAAGAACAAATCCGATTTGGTTAAGCCATCTGTTCTTTTTAGCCTCTGATTACAAGCCAACATCATCAGTTGGCCATGGTTGAGTAAGCCTTGGCCTATCACAGAGAGGAGAGCATTACCTATATCTCTGAATAGATTCAGAAGGAAAAATTAATTTTTTGTAATCAAGGAAATAAAATCCAAAAGGAGAATGTGTGGTAATTTCCTTCAGGACAGGCGTTTTGTCCTATACTTACCATAACTGCAGCTAAAAACAGTGTCAGCAATTGCAATTTTGTTGTAGTTGTTTGCTTTTTAGATGATTAAAAATACAGCCTCCTATGATGCTGTCTCTCACAAAGAATATTCCCTGTAAATAACTGGCTACATTCCAGTGAAATTCATCTTTGTAGTAATTTCTTATTTCAGTTTTTGGAATAGAATTACTGTGGTACTCCACTTTGAAAAGCATATCAAGGCTAACCACAGACTGATAAAAGGAAAAAATACACATCAATGTTAGCATTTCAGAAGCATCCTTTATCCTACAAAGCCTTTCATCCCATTTGTTATCAAACTGAGTCCAAAAGTCTGAGGATAAATAAGGTCTGTTTCTATAGGATTTTCTGTAGATAAGAGATTTCCTGAATCCAGTAGTTTGTGAATCTACATTTTTTAAAAGTCTACCATTTTTTAGTCACAAAATATAGTCAGTTCTTACAATCCCTGATTGACAAATTTATCTTCTTAATATTCTTTAATATTTAATATGTTCCAAAAGATCAGCAATGTACAAATTTTAACACTGCTTATGTGTGTTATGTAGCAAAGCCCTAGCCTGTGCCCCAGACCAGGCACATGTATTTGATGTATGGCACCCTCTTATGATCATTTATTTGTTAAGGTAATATATTCTCACCTTAGTTTTGAAGAGTAAAACTATTGAATATATTCTGAAGACCTTTGAGAGTACTTTGAAGAGGCCAGGATCAGCAGAAGCTGCTACCCAGCATATGATCCAAGCTTTCTTGGTACTTTCTCTTTATTTATATATTATTAATATTCTTTTAATTCATCAAAGACTTTTTCAACTTTAGGGCCCTGGGACATGCTCATATCCTACTGTTTTGGTAGCTATGTGTAGGTATCTTATTTTTAATTTTTTTTTTCACATTTGCAGATGCTACTTAATAGGTGAACAGGTACTAGATAAGAAGATAAAAGAATGGAAGTGATGAGATCAAGGGTATGGAGCAAAAAAAGAGGGAGCACTCATGACTTTGGGATGTGTTTGTACTTTTGTTATTGACTTGTCAGGGGAGAAACATATGAACTTGTAACTTGGTTTTTTGTAGAGTCAGTGGATTCTTGCCAATGTATCTCCTGTGGAATAAGTATCATATTTTTACTATTGGCCTCTAGGAATCAGGATTGACTGTAGTATTGCAACTTCATTGTATGATCCATGCACAGCTTGCTTAGGATTTAGACAGTATTTTATTACCCTAGCTAGAAGTTGAATGGAATCTATTTAGTGCCAAACAGAGAAAAGATGTGTAATGAAGCAATGAGAAGGAGTGACCTCCCAGCCATTGGTTGTGGACATCTGCTCAATCAGCTGGTCCATGGCTGAGCTTTCTGTCATGTACACGACCGTGGCCAGTTCTCACACTTGAGATCATTCCTGTGCCATGATCTCTGGGAGGCTGGCAGGGCCATGGCAGGACTCAGTGACACCTCAAAGACACACAGAAGGATGAGGCTCTTCCTCTTACAAATTTAAGGCACTGAGATCAGCATGTGGTGTGAAGTGAGATCATAACTGCAGCAAAAAGTTCCTGCTCCAGGAAAGTACAGGAGTGAGTAGACACTCGGTGCTCTTACTATTAGAAGCCAGTTTTATCTCCCATCTTTGTGCAGGTTCTATCTGATGGGTTCAGGAGTTTCTCTTCTGGGGTAGATCAGCACATCATTCTCACCTACAAATATCCCCAACAATGCCAGAACCAGATGCTGCTGAGATGGTGCTAGAATTATTCTGTAACAAGACCCAGGAGTGTCTGCCCACTGCTGAGGCCTCTCCAGGGTGTGTAATTCAGACTGTTAGCATGTTGTCTTCCTCAGTATTGCCCTAATTCCCATTCTGGGCCCTGCAGGGGCTGAAGGTAAATCAGACTGTCAGTGTGCACTCATCCACCTCCAGTTTCAAGAGAAGGATTTAGACAGACAGATGGATCTCCATTTCATCCCCCTAAATCTGATCCAGATAGTGATGCTCTATTGCTGTTAACCAAGCACAGCAGGATCACCACAAGTGGGAGCAAAGGCAGATGAGAGTTATCAGGAGAGTCCAGGATGCATAAAAAACATCAACAGGAAATGTTCAAGGAAGAGAGTGGACTGAGCAGCTTGAATCCACCCTTGGGCCTAACTGAAATTCCTTTTCACAGATTGGTGGGTAATTTACTGTTCTGTTTTGCTTTTTGTTTGTGATGGCCCTCATGGGTGATATAAATTATGAACATTTTTCTCCTGCATAGCTTGTATTTCATCTGCAGGCTTGATAAATCTGAAGCCCAGTGCTTAGACAGATCCTTCAGCTCTGGATGATTTTGAAACCCAGTGCCCTTTGCTGAGAGACAGGTTATATCAACTGGTGTTAGACCTGAGCAAAGGTCAGGGAGTCCTACCATTTCAGAAAAACAAGACTATTTGGAAATTAATAAAGTTTTCTGTTCACATCTACTGAAATAACCCAAATTCATAAGCTACAGATGAAAGTAGAACTCTGCTATAATCAAATAAAACTTTGGCTAATTCTCTGGCTTCCTTCCCAACAAAACATACATGAAAAGATCAATACAATTAGTTCCCTTCTTACTTTCTAGAGGAGTTTGGAATTAGACTTCAAAAAACATACTA